ATTGCGAAAAGATGTTCGAGGAACATCTTGTGCAGGAATCTTGTCCGAGTGCGTGAGACATCTGTCAGCTTCGGGGAGCTTGGAAGAGAGTGCAGTAATCAAAGCGGAGGGCACTTTTCCGATCCTAGAAAGCGAGTTTCCAGATTCTTTAAGAGAATTGAACACGGTTGAGGGGGCCATGCAGAGGGGCCGTACTATGTTTGGGTCAAATTTAATCCACACACAGGCGAAAACTGCAGAGTCAACCACTGGATAGAAGGACGAATCGAGCTGAGGAACTTCACCTGTCGGACTGAAGGGCCACTCCCTGGAACGGAGGAGGGATGGAGTAAAGGCATGAGATGGTTCGAATGAAAAATCCCTAGGTATGTTGACCGTTCACACCACATTACGGTTTGACCAAGGAACCTGAAAATAAATTCAGGTCGGACTGCAAGGTTTAACGAACATAAGGACTCCCCAACCCCTCGCGATGAACTTTGAACATTGAGCGCCCCATCTCACCTATATGACCAGATTAACGAAATAGTTTACGCATCTGAGGCACGAGCATGGCAGTGCCCATCACATGCAATATTGCCCACATGCATGTGAATTGCACCTGGATTCTAGTAAAATTGGGTTTTAAACAACATAGTTTAGCAGCGGAAAGGAAGTAGTGAAAGAGGTAAAAACCAAACTATCTATCAGTTATTAATTCGCCAACTTGATTAAAGAATTGGGTTATTCGAAAAATACCGATAAAAGCAACTTTTTCTGAAGCATCATCTCCCAACTGAAAGAATAAATGATAAGCCGGCAGCTGCCCCCCGTCGTCTTGCCTACGCCGTGCTCTCGGAAAACAACGATCGTGGCACAGGGTCCGTCGGTTATCCTTCTGTGTTGTTTAGTGCATCGTCTGCCAGAGGGGATCTCAAGAAATAGTTCCGACAGAACAGTTGCAGGACATTATAAAACCCTGGTGCCAGTACAGAAGATTGTTATCTAGACGTATGGGGACTGCCTCTGGCACTACGAATATGAGTTAACATGGTGGTTACAATTGGTTTCCTGGCGCTCGATACATAACTGGTTCGGGTGACGACTATAGTCGCTAAATAGTTCGAAACAGCAATCAAGACACACTTAATCGTGTCCGTAGCAGTCTAAGAAGGCACTTTTTGAGAAGAATAATCCTCAGACCTATATGGCCTGTCAATGTTCTCGCATAGCCGTATGTCCTCCTTAATTCCAAATCACCAAACAAATGAGGTTAACGACTCAAACTAACTGGACTGTTTCCTCTATACAACCTCATTCGGAAGTTTTCAGACTTGGAGATATCGGAAACTCTCTTGAGCTGGATTCAAGATTTCTTAAATAACTGTAAACCAAAAACTATTGCAAATGACGACTGTTCAGAATGTGCGCCTGTAAGACATGGAGTCCCATGAGGGTCAGTTCTTGGGCCGCCCCTATTAATTATATACGTAAATGCTCTAGTACGGGAAGTGAAATTGGATGCAGCGCTTTTTTCAAATTAATTTAAACTGTGGAGGGTGATAAAAGACGAAGGAGATTCCATGATACTACATCGGGAAATAGACCAGCTGCACGCATAGAACAAGAACTGGTGTATGCACTTCAATGCGAACAAGTGTATGTTAATGCACATTATATCAACAAGGCGCAGAAAAACTTCCTCTCCCAAGAGTATCTCTTGGAAACTCAACTACCTAAAATTGAAATTGTACAAAAAGACCTTAGCGTGTTTATTAAATACGACTTAAGCATTACAACACAGTGCTTCAAGGTTGAAGCAAGGCCAATGTCAACTATGAGAGCGATACAAAGGACTTTTTTTAATTGAATGCGGATATCTTCGGCAGGGTAGATGAAATATTTGTGGAAACACATCTGGAATATGCAGTAGAGGCTTGGTAGCCGTGGCTTTGAAAATATATAAGTAATCTCGCAGGTTTAAAAAGACATATTACAAAGACTGTTCATGAACCCAAACACTTTACGTACGAACAGCACCTGATTGCCTTGAATCTCTGTCACCTTCAGTAAAAATAGGACAGTGATGGCCTTTTCACGATGTTTCGGTTGTTAAGGATACTTCTTCTGAATGTCAACTGGGAAGGCATGACTGTCATCTTAAAAAGGAGCTGTGCCACACCAAGCAAGCCCCCCTTTTTTCTCTCAGAGGCATTCATACATTGAATTCTTCGCCGATTTATGTTCCCTAACTGTAAGTGTGTTCAAGGGAGGCCTGGATACTCCTCTGTTAACGGCAGCCCGAACTCCTAACTACCCGTCTAATGGATTAGTTAGATAACTACCAACATGCTACTCCCTTTATTTCGATAGATCATTTTGTTCAGGTCAACTTTGACTCTGATGAAAATTACATAGTGCAAGTGCAATGAACGTGTTGTTCGCTGGTATTTCGCAAATGTCGCACCTTTTTAATATTTAGCATCGATTTTCATGAAATCTGATCAAAATTGAGATGAACTATACCGGCGTCAACGGCTTAATTCATTTGTTGACATTTACTGTTGGCTGGTAACTCTCCCAAGGTTTAAAGCGATGGAGGGAGACAGAGTTTGTTGGGGAAGGTTTTTAGTTTACAAATTCTAATCAGCGTTCAGTGATAACACAAAAACTATGCCGGTGGGTGTGTTGCGAGCTGAAAAAAAGCTTATGAGCCTGATTGAACAAGTGGGAGAAATTATAAATAATAGAGCATTGAAAAAAACCGGGTAAAGGGAATCTGGGAACGCACATTTGGACGGCCTGCGACGGGTCAATAGGCGAGTACTTGCAACCCGGCATAAGGCAAATTACAGGTAAACTGGCGGATGACGCAGAGGACTGAGCTTGGTAGACTGAAAGACTTGGTAATTCGGGCGGTAGCAAGGATTTAGGGCGACCGGAACAAGCTGCAGCTAAAGGTAGAAAACATTGAAATAGGTCGCATTCAAGTGGTTAACGAACTTTCTTTAGTTAGGTGCCGATATTTTCAACAGAGGTAACAAGTACGTCACCAGTAGCACCTGTATATAGGGTATCATGTGCAGTAAATCACAGGCAATGTACGCGAAAAACACAGGCACAAAGGAGCAGGATTTCACATAACGAAAAGGAGAAGCGCTCGCGCCCCACTGTGTGGGAGTACCATAAAGACTATAATAGAAAGATGCCTTTGCAGCTTGACTCAATCCACCAGTCGGCCATTCCACAACAACACACGCTGGGCGGACTGTGCGGTCCGACTTATCGTGTAAGTTGGCAATCTTTCAAGCTACGGTATTTAGCGCACTATAATAGATTCAGACACAGGCTTGGTTGTAGTGAGAAGAACGTGCTCAGTGTAAACTTCATTCTCTCTCTTTCCTCCCCCGTGCGCCAATCAACAGTTCGAGTGAGTTTATCATCTAGAGCTGAGCAGGTGCAGTGGCCGACAGAACTAAACAGCCCTGCTACCTGTGCCGCGCACACCATCTGGTCTCCTATGATTGCATATAGGGAGCGTCGGCTACTCGGATCTCACATGCGTGCGTGTGACGTATAGGCTACACGAAGAAGGAGCCAAAGCGCACGCCTCCTACTTACGTGAGAGGTACCGATTCCGTGCTTGTGGGACAGATTCATGTTTTATGTATACGCTGATATGATGGGTGGTGGTAGGGTTTGTCCGACTGTGTTTGACCGCAGGTTTTCGTGGGTGCGAATGTGGTCAAATATGTCTATTAGGTGACTGGATATGCATAGGCAGTGCGGGCAGTGGGAGCGGATGCGGCAAGTTAATATCAGAACCCCTGCGCTGGTACAGAGATCAGGGTGTTACGGATTTGGAAGTGACCGACCAGGCCGATGCGGGAGGTGAAGATGCCGGCACAATGGAGACTGGTTGGTGAAGAGATCACATTGCTGGTGGTAAGGTCGGCGGTGGTGAAGGTAATAATTGACGTGGCATCGTGATTGTTGTCAAGAACGGTCGGTACTCGACGTCGCAGAAGCTGTGACAAGGGTGGCGATGGTGGAGGTCGACGAAGTCGACGGTTGGACACTCGGAGGGTGCTCACCAATGACGGCGGCGGTGGTGGTAGTATTTATGATGTTTGTGGTCGCCGTAGGAGTTGGTACAGGGGATAACAATGGGGTCGATTGCGGACGCAGTATATGAAGTTCTGGGGTTGTCGTTGTTTGGATAATCACTCATCGTCCATCGTCACGAGGTATTCGCTGCACGCAACCATCATCAACGCCTACGACCGTCTACACTCTCCGACGCCGTCATTGACCGGCCCTCCAAGTGGAGAGGAACAACGACCTGAACCTCCCGCTTTATGCTATATACGTCATAAAGTCATATGGACAGGTTTCTAGAACTTGTTACTCCTTGATGCTCTTTAAGAAACTTCGAAC